TTCCTGCTGTAATTTAAAAAGCTTTGTTTCTCTGCATTTAATATCCTGTTTTCTCTGGCTGCCTTTTTCTTTTTATCCTTGGTTTTTAGTTGTTTGGCTATGATATTTATAGCCAAATATCTGTGTGTGTGTGGTATTTTTCTTTCTTGCTGTTCTCTCGCTTGTGGTTTGATGTTTTTCATCATTTTTTCCCTGGATCTCCAGTTGCTTGTATATGTTTGTTATCCCATAGTTTTTAGATATTTTGCATTAGGAGAATTTTCCCTATGCTTCTCTGTGTTGGCTGTTAGCTATACCTCTTAAGCCTGTGTCTCCCTGCTCTTGCCCCTCTGCCAGCAGTAGGCTGCTGCTCCCTGTTACTCTATGTCATGCTTGTGGTGGGGACAGGAGTGTTCTCTGTTGTTCTAACACAGCCTTAGTCATAGGCAGGCCCTGTGTGCCTGGGCCTCTGCATGGGGCTTTCACCATGTACAGTCAGCCCTCCGTATCTGCAGGTGTGTCAGGGCTAACTGTGCAACTTGATCATCTGTGGATTTTGGTATCTGAGGGAAGTTCTGGAAACAATCCCCTGCAGAGCCTGAGGGACAGCTGTACCTGCTTCTTCCTCAGTGTTATGAGACCTCTACTTTTCTGTCAGTAAAGGATCCTGAGCCCAATATAGTTCTGCACTCCTGCTGTAGTAATAGAGGGCTTTCTTGTACCCTTATTCTCCTATACTCCCACACTAGAGGATCCAGACTCTAGGCCGTCACCTCGGATTGGTAGCTTGCTTTAAGGAAGGGAAAATAATTCCTCTCAAGGATAAGCATCCCCAATATTCTCACTTACAGTTAAACAAAATATGAACTTAAAACCAAAACCTGAGGAAATAAATCATTTGTGAGAGTAAACAAGTAACGGAAAATATGTTTTCAAACACCCATTAATTAAGACCATGGATGTATTAGTAAGTATAAAACAACCATGTAAGACATATTCAGAGTAGTAAAAGAGGAAATAAAAGGAGTAAGGAAGAAGGAATGTCTGTCGTCGCAGATTACTGAACCCTACATTTAACTTTTAAAAAAATTAAAATTGGATCGATACTGCAATAAATTATAAAAGCCATACCTTTTGCATAATTTTTTTAGTAAAATTCTAACAGCAAATACAGGAAGAGAGAAAATGAACCCTAAAAGAATATTTGAGATGAGAGTATTGGTAAATAAGTGATAGGAAATAAGGAAACATAGGTAAATTTAAATTATGTTTGTATAAAATAATAATGATACTTAATTTGTAGTGCTAAAAAAGACACAATTATATAATAAATAATAATTACATATAAATGAGGTGGGGATAATCAAATTGTGTTTCAAAATCCTTCTGTAATTCAGAAAGGAGGTTTATGATATTAACTCACTTTGGTATATAGCATATAATAGATATTGTATCGTTACTTAACTAACTGAATCTTGATGAATGAGAGCTTGGTAAAATTTAATGGGTAGCCAACCATTGAGAAACTGGTATAGTATAACTTCCAAAGATGTAAAGAAGAAAAAATGGGAAAATATCAAAAAAACAAAGTACAAAAAGAAGAAAGGTGCAGTAGATGTCATAGTAAAACTCTGACAAATACAAGATACCAACTAACATTTAGGAGACAACTTGATATGTTTTCAGTAATCACCATAAATTACCTGTTGAAAAACAATAAAATTGAATCTTCAAAAAATAATAAACTCTTGCTATATCCATGATATAAAGTTTTGGTCTGACGACCTTCCCCTTTCTATTTCCAGTGCCTTTGGCCATTCATGCAGTGTTTTACCTGCAGTCAGGAGTCTGGGAGGATGTTCTGATCCCTGCAAATTGGCAAGAACTGAAACTAAAATCATTACTGACAAATCATAAGTCTTCCTCACTTATCTTTTTTGTTACGTTCTGTAAGCCTGCTGCTCTCACAGATGACCCTCATAATGTTATTTTATTTTTGTCTTTCTGTCATCCTTTCTTAATGATGTTAAGTAACTGTCTGTTATTGGGATGGGTGTGGTGGCTCACACCTGTAGTCCTAGCACTTTGGGAGGCCGAGGTAGTTGGATCATTTGAGGTCAGGAGTTTGAGACCAGCCTGACCAACATGGTGAAACCCCATGTCTACCAAAAATATAAAAAATTAGCCGGGTGTGGTAGCACACGCCTGTAATCCCAGCTAATCAGGAGGCTGATACAGGAGAATCACTTGAACTGGGGAGATGGAGGTTGTAGTGAGCTGAGATCACGCCACTGCACTCCAGTCTGGGTGACAGAGCGAAACTCCATCTCAAAAAGAAAAGGCCGGGCACAGTGGCTCACACCTGTAATCTCAGCACTTTTGGAGGCTGAGGGGGGGGGTGGATCATCTGAGGTCAGGAGTTCAAGACCCACCTGGCCAACATGGTGAAACCCTGTATCTAATAAAATACAAAAATTAGCTGGGCATGGTGGCGGGTGCTTGTAATCCCAGCTACTCAGGAGGCTGAGGCAGGATAATTGCTTGAACCCAGGAGGCAGAGGTTGCAGTGAGCTAAGATCGTACCACTGTACTCTAGCATGGGTGACAGAACCAGACTCCATCTCAAAAAAAAAAAAAAGTATATTACTGTTTTACTTTTGTAAACTGTCTTCTAAATATTTTTGTATTTTATGTTTTCACTTTCCACTCATACCACCTGAAACACTAACCACTACAACCCCTGCCTTGTGGGTTCAAGTGATAGAAGAACACTATTTAAAGCTTGATATGTTTCATTCAAATAAACCATTCCTCTGACATTTTTCTTCTGTTTTTTCTTTTTCTTTTTTTTTCTTTTTGAGACAGAGTTCGCTGGGATTACAGGCATGTGCCACCATGCCCACCTAATTTCAGTAGAGATGGGGTTTCTTCATGTTGGTCAGGCTGGTCTTGAACTCCCAACCTTAGGTGATCCTCCCTCCTTGTCCTCTCAAAGTGCTGAGATTACAGGTGAGCCACCATGCCCAGCCTCCTCTGATATTTTTCTAGAACACTCTTAACTACTAGTTTTCCTTGCCCCTCTCATTCTCTGCATGTCCCATGTCTAGATTAGCCATTTTTATATTTATATTATTTATTTTATATCTTTAGTATCATTTTTATATCTAATGTTTTATGTCATTATTTGTGTCTATTCTGTATTCACTGTGCTTTATGGTTATTTGTAACCTCTGTGTTGTTTTGAAGTACGTATTTATAAATTGCCCATTGTGTGTTCTAAATTTCCACCCTACTTTCCACATTATAAGGTTTCTTGTTTATTTTCTTCTAGCCAAAGGGCTAGAGGAGATTAACACTTTTTGGATTACTTTATTCCAGGAAACTAAGTCAACTATATATAAAAGCGCATTTGTATGTAAGTGTAAGTTCATCACAAATATCACAAGACTTATAAGTTACGGTTATTTTTTCTTATTTCTAGAAGTCTGCAAAGTTGATGACCATCTGGAGCGCTGTCAGGAAATCCAGGACAGACATATCTGGCAAGCTCCATATATCAACAACCAAATACTGACTATAGAGAGAGGTAACATTAGGAAAAGTGTTTGATTTCAGCATAGACCCACTTCCTTCCATAAAAATACCTTGTAAATGTGACTTATGTGGTATGAGTTTAAAATACATTTCAGATTTATTTAGTAGTAAGAAAATTATTTAAGAAAGATGCCTCATGACCTCAGTGCATATAGAAAACTATTCCTCAATAGTAACCATGAAAAAACTCATATGGAAGAGAAATGTTATGAGTTTATTCAAATTGGAAAATGCCTCAGTCATAAGAAGGACTTCATTTCATATCTGAAAATTCAAAATTTAGAGCAATCTTGAATATAAGGAATGTGAGAAAGATTTCTATGGAAAGGCAGTTTTCATTACATATAAGCAAGCTTACACAGGAGAGAGTCCTTGTGTACATAATGAATATAATAAAGTGTTCTATAATAATCCAACTCTCACGGTCCATAAAATGTCAGAAAAAAGAGAAAACTTTTATGAGTTTAATGAATATGAAAAAACCTTTGAGAAGTCCACTTTCTTGAAACATAGAGTTCATTTGGAGGTGAAACATTATAAATATATTGAAAGTGTAGGTAATTTTAACAGATCAAGCTTTCCTAACACAAGAGAGAAAACATTTGAAAGTAACAAATCAGGGGAACCTTTGTACGAGAAGTCAGTACTTAATGTAACTCACAGAACACACAGAGGAGAGGAAGTCTATGGATGTGAGCAATGTGGAAAACCATTCTATGAAAAGTCAAAGCTAACCAAACATCAAAGAATCCATACAGGGGAGAAACCCTATGAATGTAATGAATGTGAAAAATGTTTTTCTAGGAAATCTCCCCTCACTTTACATCAGAGAGTCCACACAGGAGAGAAACCCTATAAATGTAAGGAATGTGGGAAATGCTTTTCTAGGAATTCACACCTCATATTACATCAGAGAACTCACACAGGAGAGAAACCCTATAAATGTAAGGAATGTAGAAAAAGTTTCTTTCATAAGTCATATCTTACAGTACATCAGAGAATTCACATGGGAGAAACCCTACGAATGTAATCAATGTGGAAAAACCTTCATAAGCAACTCTTTCCTCATAATACATCATAAAACACACACAGATGAGAAACCCTGTGAATGTAATGAATGTGGGAAATCTTTCTCTAGGAGTTCATATCTTATAATACATCAGAGAAGTCACACAGGCGAGAAACCCTATGAATGTAAGATATGTGGCAAAACCTTTTGCCACAAGTCTGATGTCACTAAACATCAGAAGACTCACATAGGGGGAAAACCCTATGAATTTATTCAGTGTGGGAAAACTTTTAGTCATAACTCAGGCCTAAAAGTACATCAGAGAACACATACAAAGGAGAAACCCTATGAATATACTGAGTGTGGGAAATCCTTCTCTGAGAAATCAGTCCTTACAGTACATCAGTGAATACACAAAGGGGAAAAACCTTATAAATGTAATGAATGTGGAAAAACCTTCTACAATAAATCAGACCTAACCAAACATCAGAGAACACACACAGGTAAGAAGCCCTATAGATGTAAGGAATGTGGGAAATTCTTCTCTAGGAATTCATACCTTACAATACACCAGAGAATGCATACAGGAGACAAACCCTTTGTGTGTAAAAAATGTGGGAAAACCTTATACCATAAGGCAGACTATACAGTACATAAGAGAACACATAGAGGGGAGAAATCTTATTACTGTAATGAATGTGGGAAAACCTTTATTTGCAACTCAGTCCTCAACTCCCATCAGAGAAAACACATGGGGGAGAAGCCCTATGGGTGTAATGAGTGTGGGAAGTCCTTCTCTGAGAAATCAGTTCTTACTGTACATCAGAGGATACACACAGGGGAAAAACCTTATAAATGTAATGAATGTGGGAAGTACTATCATAAGTCAGATCTCACTAAACATCAGAGAACACACACAAGGGAGAAACCCTATGAATGTAGTCAGTGTGGGAAAAGCTTCAGTTGCAGCTTAGGTCTCAAAGTACATCAGAGAAGACACACAAGGGAGAAACCCTATGAATGTAAGCAGTGTGGGGAAACCCTCTGAGAAATAAACTCTCATAGCACATCCAAGGATACACATGGGAAAAAGCTTATAAATGTAGAAATGAGAGAAATCTTTCTCAAGCAATTCATACCTCAAAATACTTAGGAGAAATCAAATAGGACATGACCCCTGTGAATGTGAAGAACTTGGCAAACTTTTTACCATAAGTCATCTTCCAAAGTAAATAAGAGAATAGGCATAGGGGAAATTCCTAATAATGTAATGAATGTTTGAAAATCTGCTGTAAGAGACAACTACAAAGTAACTGAATACATGTAGAAGAAACACTACTGATCCATGTAGGGAATATGGGGAAATATTTTGCTATAATTTGGAATTTATTAAACAAAGAACTTCCATAGGAAATAATCTAATGACTCACATGGATATATGAAAATGTTCTTCCAGAGAATGACCATTAATAAAAATAAGATAAACCACATTTAGAGAAAACTGTCAACATTCTGTTTCTTTTGACAACTTTATGCACAAGTTTTACTCATTGTTTATTAAATAAATAATAGGGAAGATATTCAAAGAATGCAGCAAATGTCGTTGAGTCTATATCAAGAAATGTCATTTTACTAAGCAAGATAATTCATATTGAGTTAAAGTCATAACAGATATTTTGAATGTGAAGACATTAACAAATATCCAGACTTTATTATATCTGAAGATTGTGTTAAAGGAAATGTGTCAGTTTAGGAAATAATGAATAGAAATTTTCTTCTAGATACAGTATTATCCTGAAAGTCATGTTTTTAAAAAATCAGTCATGTTTTGTTCTGATCCCAAATTTTTAAATAGAAATGTAACTGTAAACAGAATTCTATACAAATAGTAACTGTAGAGTATGAAGATTTTTTTAAAGCACAAATAAATTGAATAACCTTTTCAGTCTCTGAGTCCACTTTTGGGGAAAGAGTGTTACCCCATGGCCCTTTCTATCACGAGCATCTCCTGTCCTTGATTAGTCTGCCCTCCAACTATACTGTTGCCTCTGCATTTTCTGCCTAATGGACCTACCCTTAGGGGAGCTCAGGATGGACCACCCTCTTACCAGAACATACATTGGGACCAGCCAGAGGCAGTGGGATATAGGTTGTCCTTGAGGCTGCATCTGCCCCTCTTCCTAGGTGCAGAGACTGGAAACCACATTAAGTGTGTGTACAAAGCTAAAGGACCACCTAGAACCTTTAGCCCATGTGAGTTTGGTCTCCAATTCAGAGCCACAGGAAGCTCAGTATAGCTTACTTTTTTTAATCCAAGCCTATTGACTGAATTTTAGTGAACCCTTTTAGGTGGGCTGGTGTAGTTTTAGTGAAATATTTCATAACATAACCATCAGTGTACATATTGTAGCTTGGAAGTAAAGTATTGCAAAAGTAGTTGAAGTATCTGCACGTCATTCCCAAATTTCTTTAACTTCCTATAACCTTTACCACCTTTAAGCCTTATTTTAAACTTGGTTTTTATTGATACCATGTCTCATTACTTTCATTCTTTATTTCCATATATACACATATACTATTGTGGATGTACAATAACATATTTTGTTGTTTTGCAAGTATTTGCAAAAGTTAAAGTTATTCAGCTTTTGTCTTCAAATACATGGTTTTGACCTTTTTACCTGCTGATATGTTTAGCTTTACTTATTTTAATAAAGTATAATAAATAACTTTGTGTAACTATAAAACATTGTCTATTTTCCTGTTTATGAAATTTCAAAATTTTGTTTCATTATTAAAACAATGTATGATAATTTTTATAAATCAACTTAAGTATAATTTAAACATGGTAAAAGACATCCTGTTTTGCCAATTTTATGAGTGATGTGGTTTGGGGCTCTGTGTCCCCACCCAAATCTCATCTTGAATTGTAATCCCCATGTATTGAAGGAAGGACCTGATAAGAGGTGATTGCATCATGGGAGTGGTTTCCCCCATGCTGTTCTCATGATAGTGAGGGAGTTCTCACAAGATCTGATATTTTCAAAAACATCAGTTTCCCCTGCACTCACTTGCTGTCTCCTGCCATCCTGTTAAGAAGGTGCCTGCTTCCACTTCACCTTCCACCATGATTGTAAGTCTCCTGAGGCCTCCCCAGTCACTCTGAACTGTGAGTAATTAAACTTCTTTTGTGTATAAATTACCCAGTCTCAAGTAGTATCTTTATAGCAGTGAGAACACACTAATACAATGAGTTTTTGCAACAGTATACCCTCATGTAGTAACTACCACACTTAAGATACAGAGCAGAATCTACAAAGAACTTAAATTTACAAGAAAAAAACAACCCATCAAAAAGTGGGCAAATGATATGAACAGACACTTCTCAAAAGAAGACATTTATGCAGCCAACAGACACATCAAAAAATGCTCATCATCACTGGGCATCAGAGAAATGCAAATCAAAACCACAATGAGATACTATCTCATACCAGTTAGAATGACGATCATTAAAAAGTCAGGAAACAACAGATGCTGGAGAGGATGTGGAGAAATAGGAATGCTTTTACACTGTTGATGGGAGTGTAAACTAGCTCAACTACTGTGGAAGACGGTGTGGCAATCCTTAAGGATCTAGTACTGGAAATACCATTTGACCCAGTGATCCCATTTCTGGGTATATACCCAAAGGATTATAAATCATGCTGCTATAAAGACACATGCACACGTATGTTTATTGCAGCACTATTCGCAATAGCAAAGATTTGGAACCAACCCAAATGTTCATCAATGAACCCCACAGGCAGTCTAAAGCCTCCTGCATTCCTAAAGTTTTGGGTTTCTTCTTGATGGACGTTCCATCAGGTGTTTTTGCAGTTTTGGAAATCCTAAAAATTCCTACAATCTTATTTTTTAACAAAATATTTTCTCTATTTTGTTCCTTAACTTGAACACTTTCCAGAAGAAGACATACTTGTGGCCAAAAAACATGTGAAAAAATGCTCAATATCACTAATCATTAGAGAAAACAAATCAGAACCACAATGAAATACCATCTCACAATAGTCTAAATGGCTGTTATTAAAAGTCAAAAGCTAACATGCCAGTAAGGTTGTGGAGAAAAGGGAACACCTATATACTGCTGATGGGAATGTAAATTAGTTCAGTTATTGTGGAAAACAGTGTGGCAATTTCTAAAAGAAATTAAAACAGAATTACCATTTGATCCAGTAATCCCATTATTGGATGTCTACCCAAAGGAATAGAAATCATTCTACCTTAAGGACACAGGCTATCACCCCTGTTATTAAATATAGTATTGGAAGTTCTAGCGAGGGCAATCAGAAAAGAGAAAGATATAAAGGGCCTCTAACTTGGAAAAGAAGAAATCAAATTATCATTTTTGCAGGTGATATGATCTTATATTTGGAAAAACCTAAGGACTCCACCAAAAAACTGACAGGATTAAAAAATTCAGTAAAGTTGCAGGATAGAAAATCAGTAGCATTTCTATATGCCAACAGTGAACAATCTGCAAAAGAAATTTAAAAGGTAATCCCATTTACAATAGCCACAGATAAAATTAAGTACCTAGGAATTATGAAAGGAAGTGAAGGATCTCTATATTGAAAACTATAAAACACTGATGAAGTTGAAGAGGACACCAAAAAATGGAAAAATATCCCATGTTCATGGATTAGAAGAATCAATATTGTTAAAATGTCCATACTACTTAAAGCAATCTACAGATTCAGTGCAATTCCTATCAAAATACCAATTACCTTCTTCGTAGAAATAGGACAAACAGCCAGGCACGGTGGCTCACGCCTGTAATCCCAGCACTTTGGGAGGCCAAGGCGGGTGGAACACCTGAGGTCAGGAGTTTGAGACCAGCCTGGCCAATATGGTGAAACACCATCTCTATTAAAAATACAAAAATTAGCTGAGTGTGATGGTGGGCCCCTGTAATCCCAGCTACTGGGGAGGCTGAGGCAGGAGGATCACTTGAAACCAGGAGGCAGAGGTTGCAGTGAGCCAAGATCACACCACTGCACTCCAGCCTGGGAGACAGAGGGAGACTGTCTCAAGAAAAAAAAAAGAAAAGAAAAGAAAAAATAATCTTTAAATTTATATGGAACCACAAAAGACCTGGAATAGCCAAAGCTACACTAAACAAAAAGAACAAAACTAGAGGAATCACATTACTTGACTTCAAATTATATTACAGAGGTATAGCAACTGAAACAACATGGTACTGGCATTAAAACACTTAAGCCAATAAAACAGAATAGAGAACCCAGAAGCAAATCCACACATCTACAGTGAACTCATTTTTGACAAAGATGCCAAGAATGTATACTGGGGGAAAGACAGTCTCTTCACAAATAGTGCTGGGTAAACTGGATATTCATATGCAAATAATGAAACTAGACCCTTATCTCTCATCATATACAAAAACAGATCAAAGTGGATAAAAGACTTAAATGTAACACCTCAAACTGTGAAACTATTACAAGAAAACATTGGGGAAAATCTCCATGATGTTAATCTGGGCAAAGACTTCTTAAGTAATACCCCACAAGCACAGGCAACCAAACCAAACATGGACAAAGGGGACCATATCAAGTTTAAGAGCTTCTGCATAGCAAAAAATACAATCAACAAAGTGAAAAGACAACCCACAGAATTATAGACAATATTTGCAAACTACCTCTCTGACACAGGATTAATAACCAGAAAATAGGCCCGGCGCGGTGGCTCATGCCTGTAATCCCAGCAATTTGGGAGGCCGATGCAGGCGGATCACAAGGTCAGGAGTTCAAGACCAGTCTGGCCAATATGGTGAAACCCTGTCTCTACTAAAAATGCAAAAATTAGCCTGGCATGGTGGTGGATGCCTGTAGTCCCAGCTACTTGGGAGGCTAAGGCAGGAGAATTGCTTGAACCCAGGAGGCGGAGGTTGCAGTGAGCTGAGATCATGCACTGCACTCTAGCCTGGGCCAGAGAGCAAGACTCTGTCTAAAAAAAAAACCCAAAAAACAAAAAACAAAAAAACAGAAAATATATGGATTTCAACTCTATAAGAAAAAAAAATCTAATAATCCAATCAAAAATGGGCAAATGAGTTGAATAGACATTTATCAAAAGAAGACATACAAATGGCAAACAGGCTTACAAAAATGTGCTCAACATCATTGATCATCAAATAAATGCAAATCAAAACCACAATGAGATATCTCACCCCAGTTAAAATGGCTTATATCCAAAAGTCAGGCAATAACAGATGCCGGCAACAATGTGGAGAAGAGAACTCTCATATACTCTTGGTGGGAATGTAAATTAGTACCACTATGGAGAACAGTCTGGATGTTCCTTAAAAAACTAAAAATGGCCCTACCACATGATCCAGCAATTGCACTTCTGGATATATACTCAAAAGAAAGGAAATTATTATGTTAGAGAGATATCTGCACCCCTGTGTTTGTTGCAGCACTGTTCACAGTAGCCAAGATTTGGAAACAACCTAAGTGTCCCTCAACAGATGAATGGATAAAGAAAGTGTGTTACATATATACCCAATGAAGTACTATTTATCCGTTAAAAAAATGAGGCCCAGTCTTTTGCAACAACGTGGATGTAACTGGAGATCATTATGTTAAGTGAAATAAGTCATGCATGGAAAGACAAGCCTCACATGTTCTCACTTATCTGTGGGCTCTAAAAGTCAAAACAATTGATCTCATGGAGATAGAGAGTAGAAGGATGCTTACCAGAGGCTTGGAAGGGCAGTGGCGGGGGATTAGGGGGTGAGGGAGGTGGGGATAGTCAATGGGCCCAAAAAATAGAATGAGGCCAGGCCCGGTGGCTCACGCCTGTAATCCCAGCACTTCGGGAGGCTGAGGTGGGCAGATCACGAGGTCAGGAGTTCGAAACCAGCCTGGCCAATATAGCGAAATCCCATCTCTACTAAAAATACAAAAATTAGCGGGGAGTGGGGCATGCGCCTATAGTCCCAGCTACTCAGGAGGCTGAGGCAGAAGAATCACTTGAACTTGGCAGGCGGAGGTTGCAGTGAGCCGAGATCAGGCCACTGCACTCCAGCCTGTGCAACAGAGTAAGACTCTGTCTCAAAAAAAAAAAAAAAAAAAAGAATAGAATGAATAAGCCCTACTATTTGATAGTACAATTGGGTGACTATAGTCAATAATAAATTGTACGTTTTAAAATAACTTAGAGTGTAATTGGATTGTTTGCAACTCAACAGATAAATGCTTGAGGGGATGGATCCCTCATTTCCCCCGATGATCTTATTTCACATTGCATGCCTGTATCAAAACATCTCGTGTACACCATAAATATACACACCTACTAAGCACCCACAAAAATTAAAGAAATTTTTTAAAACTTAAAAAAAATACATGGATGTATATGTTCATTGCAGCACTATTCACAATAGCAAAGATGTGGAATCAAACTCCCATGTATGGTAGACTGTATAAAGAAAATGTGGCAATATACACTATGGAATATTACACAACCACAAAGAAGAAAAGGATATCCTTTGTAGCAACATGGATGGAACTGGAGGCCATTATTCTAAGCAAACTAATGCAGAAACAGAAAAGCAAATACCACATGCTCTGATAAGTGGGAGCTAAACATTGAGTACATATGGACACAAAAGGTAAGTATCAGCACCAGGGAC